CGATGATTCGTTTTTAGATCGAATCAATGAATTGTTAAACGAATTCAATCAATGGCACCAGCGTGACCAAGAAGAACAATAACGCCATCTATCATTTTATTTTTAGATCATATGTTACTAATTTTATGCTTTATTGTAGTCCATATATGTTGATATATTTATTCCATGATAATTCTACGTTTATCATTTTGTGTGAGGTAAATTAAAAGCTGAATGGCGGTTCATGCAGCGAAAGAACATATCAATATTCGCATATTCATTCAAAAACATGAAAAGTTTTAATGGAGTACCCTCATTTCTTATTGAATTCCTAAAAAACAATATCTATAATGAATTTTAATAATTTTTTCGGATTTTTTTTAAGCGTTATTCTGACCGATTCACCCGATTCTCGATCCGGATCGGTTTTTTGGAAGCCCGATCCGGGTAACCGATCCGTTTTTTAAACCATTGTAATTATCTAACCCATTCGGTATTTTCAACTGTTTTTAGCTATTTGTCATTATTAGATAACTATTCATCATGGAAATTGTTATTGAAACTTAATATGTGCTATAGGCTCTACATGGGTCATCTCACGCTTTGATTTAAGAACCAATGAACTTGGGGATGTACCTTTATATATGCTTAGCTCACTTATTAATAAGTCCTTATGTGACAAATAGCTCATGATTCTCTCTAGAACAAGACCGACATACCATATAGCACAAAGAAATAAGTTTATACAGAGCCGAGGCTCTAAACAATCAAATTAGAGCTCACTTCAAAAATTTCACTAAGAGGTTGTTTTTTATGCCCAAATATCCTCACATTGATCATCTCGAAATCAAGATGCGTGGTTATGAGAAAAATATGGATTTCAAGTTTTGAAAATAGTGCATCTTGTAACGCATTTTTGGATAGTCAATCTTTAAATTTTCATGGATTTGCTCAATCTATACTATTTTTAAAGCTTTAAATTATATAATTAAAGATGAAAATATATTTTAAGGCTATCACAAAGATTTTCAGTATTGGAACCATATTTTTTAACACTATTTGAAGGTACGCTTAACTTTGATTGTTTAGAGCCTCAGCTCTATACAAACCGCACGCTAACATAAAAATATATTTTTGAAAAATATTACTGTTGAAAAACACATTGTATTTTCCGTTGCAAAATACGATAGATTCCAGAGAAGAGCAATTGCAAACCTAAAAAATCATGTTGGATGGAAGGCCAAAGGATATTTCTTTGCCCCCAAGTTTGATCAAGAGAAGAGCAATTGAAAAAAAATTTGAGAATTTTAAGTTCTTAAAAGTATGGATGATGCCCACCCATGAAATCGATGGCCTGTCTTCATCAAGTTTATAGAAAAAAAAATTCATGAATTTTTTTAATTGCTTTTCATGATTTTCCTTGCAAGATAGAGGAGATTGTATGGTTCACGCTTAAGATACTTATAAAATGCTCTAGGCTCAAAAATGTGTAAAATATGCAAGGATATACCAGTGTAGATTTCCATGAACTAAATGTCATGTCTAAAATATAAAATGCTGGACCCCAAGAGTATGACCTAACCTCCATCTAGGCTCATATGCAGTCATAGTTTGTCATCATGAATTTAATAGGCCGATTAGATTCACGTGAGACTCACCACCACCACACCAAGCAAATGGGAACTATTTATATACGGACACAAAAGCAAAAGGGAAGATAGGAGAAGCAAAATTTTTTTTGGGAAAATATTAGGCCAAAGGTGGGTCGACTTGTGTTCATTTTAATTTTTTCAGTTTGCCCCTCGGTTGGATGTTACCAACATCAGACCGATTTTAAATTTCTTTTCTTTATTTGTTTTTTCTTCGGGGCCGTCCGATGCCTTGAACCTCAGATTGCTTAGTCTAATAAGTAGTATGAGATTGAAGACCTCGGACCGTAATTATGGCAATATGGCACAAAACTAGGTCCAAGATCCTAAACCTTGGACAGCTTAAACTTTATCGATATGATATTTGAGACAGGCTCACCAAAAATTTAGAAAAAAAAAAAACATTTAAACCGGTCTATTATTGGTAACATTAGACTTGGGAGTAATTAGGGAAAAATAAAAAAGGAATTTTAAAAATTTATTTTTTAGAAATACGCGTCCCTTAATAATTTATTTTTAAAATTGGATTCAATCTTAGTTTTTAGGAATTTTAAGAACTAAAAATAATATTTTTTGGAGAAATATTTGAAGAGTTGATTTTACTTTTTCTTTGGAGGACTATTATTTATGGTGTAGACCTACACTTTTTTTGGCGGATGGTTTAGATCTCCAAACCTGCATAGTAAACGGTACGGCGTTGGATGCACCAAACAATTATCCTTTATATTTTGTCTTTTGTTTCTTGCTCCATACATAAATAACTAAGGGAACTTGTTTTTATGTGGCCAAGCCCACATATGTAGAAATGCAACCCTCTTAATAAATTTATTTTGGAGTTGAATTTTAAGTCCTAATTTTTTTGGATATATAATCATTAATATGGAGATCATGAATATAAAAAAAACAAATAAATTTTAAAACTAGAAATAATGATTTTAATAAAAAAACATTTAGACGGTTAGTAAGAAAATAAATAAAATACCTACTTGCGTCCATCTTTTAGATGGATGTTTTACACTTTCTGGACCGCATATATAAAAATGCGGTGCAGCCCGCATGAAACAATTTTCCATAACTCCAGCAGTGAGTGCTTTGACTAACTCAGGAGCAGGTCACGACTTCTTTCTTCTCGACAATACAGAGACGAGAGAGAATCGGAGTGAGCAATTGAGAATGGCCGGTGGCAGGCTTGGAAGTCCGTTGGAGTTCTATTTGGCATGTGCGAAAGCGTCGGTAACGGTGGTTCCTTCGAACGCGGGGCGCGCCGTATTTAATTGCCCAGTGGGTCTCACCAAATAATTTACACTTTCTCTCTCTACCGCCCCATTTTCTCTCTCCTCGACATGGAGTTTTGTCAACACCTTCACCAATAAATACTCTCTCAACACTCCACCTTCGTCCCATGGTTGAGGAGCAAACACACTCTCTCTCTCTCTCTCTACCATATTTTGTTTTTTCTCTCATCTCCAAAATTCCTATGGTTGAGGAGCAAACACTCTCTCTCTCTCTACCATATTTTGTTTTTTCTCTCGTCTCCAAAATTCCTGGAAGCCATGCTTAACTGGTTGAGTTGATGCCTCAATCGGTCCAGCCGATCTCTCTTCGAGACTGGTTCCGGTCGATAGAGGTCTCCATTATTGTAGATTTAAGCAGCATCTCTTTCTCTCTCTACCTTGCTTTCTCTTTCTCTCTCTAAACCTACTGTTCTTCTAAGTTAATGGGGAGAGCCCCTTGTTGCTCGAAAGTGGGTCTTTTGAGAGGACCATGGATCGCCAGAGAAGACACTCTCCTCAAGAGGTACATTGAGACGCATGGCGAAGGGCGTTGGAGGTCACTCCCTAAGAAGGCAGGTTTGTAAAACTTCTTCCTCATTATCATTTTCATCTATATAGAGAGAGAGATTTTGGATTTCGCCACACATGTATATTTGGGTTCAAATATAGGTTTATTACGATGCGGTAAGAGTTGCAGACTGAGATGGATGAATTACTTAAGACCCAACATTAAACGAGGGAACATTAAGCAGGATGAAGAAGAGCTTATAGTCAGACTCCATGCCTTACTTGGGAACAGGCAAGTCAAGGATTTTAACCTTCTTTTTGGCTGTTTCTTGCTTTCGCGCTGTAGTTTGTTGGCTAACGTTTTTTTTTTTTCGTAGACGACCTCAAATAATCACGATAAAACTTGATAATATAATTGCATTTTAAAATAAATTTGAAGACCACCTAAGAGTAAATATCTTTAGTCTCATTCAGTGGTATTAAATTTGGTGCCCAACTTTCTATTTTTGAAAGTTGAATTAAGTTTGGGTTTGGAAAATTGGTTCTCTCTTCATCGCGAAAGGTCACCCATCTCATCATTCCCCTTTTATTAGTAAAAAGTAAATATCATTAAACTTGTTTTGTAGTATTTCTGTAGTCCCGAGGGATCAAGCGTTTCATAGCATGTGTGAACTCAATCAAGTTTTTTTAACTTGTGTGATTTGCTCTTCTAGGTGGTCACTGATAGCCGGGAGATTGCCCGGACGAACAGACAACGAAATAAAGAACTATTGGAACACACATCTCAGCAAAAACCTTAGGAGTAAAGGGATAGACCCGCGGACCCACAAGCCCATTTCTACTCAAAGCCCAAATTCTTCAAATTCCAAGCAAGAATCAACCTCAAACAAGAAGTCTAGAGCTCCAAAGAGAAAGGGAAAAGACGAGAGAGAGAGAGAGCATTGTGCCCCAAAGATCCATCTCCCTAAACCCAATAGAATAAGCAACACCACTTTTACCATGCCCATAAGCCACCAAAGGCCAAGAAATGTTGAAATCATAGCTCCAACAAAGAATGTTAGCACCATGAGCCCCACAAGTCAAGAGAAAAACACAAATCATGAAAGTTTTCATCTTGATCAAAAGCAAAGTAGTATGGGGGAGGACCTATATGGAGTTGGAACCTCAAACTTGGTTGAAGATTGTCTTAGTTGGGGAGCTGAAGATGAGTGGCTTAGCACTAGCAACACTGAGAGCCCATGTGATAACATGCTGGAGAAGGTCTATGAGGAGTACTTAGACCTCTTGAATTGTGACCATGACTCTATACTGGGGTCCAAAGAGGGCAATCTCATCAATGAAGAAGGAGAAGACAGTGGCTCTGATGGATGGGACTGCACTTACTGGGAAGGCTCAGTCCTCAACTTTCCTTCCATCCCAAGTGATAATACTTTTCAATAGGACGGGGAGAGAGAGAGGAGGGGGGAGGGGGGGGGGGGAGGGAGTACGTTGTAGGTTAGTTTGTAGTAACGTAAAATAAGTGTAGTGTAGGTAACTTAAATAAGTAGTAAGTAGTAAGGTTAAGGTTAGTTTAGTTTAGTAGTAACGTAAAATAGTAGTAG